CCGAATTTTGGGGGGGATTTTGGGGTGCAAATTCAAAATTCTGGGAGGGATTTTGGGATGAAAATTGAGAATTTTGGGGAGGATCTTGGGGGCAAGTTTGGGGTGAAAGTTGCAAATTTTGGGTGGGATTGTGGGGCGAAAATCCCAAACTTTGGGGGGGCGGGGGGAACACGCGGAGATTTGGGGGGAAAAAAGGGAAATTTGGGGGTCCCGGGGGGTTTTGGGGGCTCCCGGAGCGGATTTTGAGGGGTAAAAAGGGGAATTTTGGGGTTAAAGGGGGAATTTTGGGGTTAAAAAAGGGAATTTTGGGGTTAAAAGGGGAATTTTGGGGTTCAAAAAGGGAATTTGGGGGTCCCGGTCCGGGGGGGTCGCGGCACCGCTCGGGGGCCCCGGGGCCGCCCCCAAGATGGCGGCGGAGGAAGAGGCGGGGCCACGGCACGGAATGGGCGGGGCTTAACGGGGAAACAGCCAATGGGAGCGAGGTGAGGGGTGGAGGCGTGGTTAAAGGAAGCATGGAAGGGGCGTGGTTTATGCTGATCCCGAGGCTCCCATTGGTTAGTGGGAAGGAATGGGTGTGGCTAAACGCCCCGGAATAGGCGTGGCTCCCACGGGGAGGGCCGCGATCCCGCGGCTCTCATTGGTTGCGGGGATGGGGCGGTGCCGGAAGTAGGCGTGGCCTGGCGGGCGGAAGCGGAAGCGGTGGGAGCGGCCATGGAGGAGGAGGCGGCGGGAGGGAGGGTGAGGCCTCCCCTCCCCCACCCCCCAAAAACCCCCAAAAATCCCCAAAAACTCCTCCAAACCCCCCCGGGAACCCCAAAATCCCCCCGGGGTTTTGTCCCCTCCCCGCCGTGGGTGACACCGCGCTGGGGGGGGAGGGGACGGGACCGGGACGGGGACAGGGGAAAGGTGACAGGCCCAGGGTGACAGTGACACCACCACGGTGACGGTGACAGTGACGGGATGGTGACACAGTGGCAGTGTGGGGGTGGCAGTGACAGGGACACGGTGACAGTGACAGTGACAGTGTGGTGACAGTGGCAGGGTGGCGGTGACACCACCACGGTGACGGTGACAGGGTGGTGACACAGTGGCAGTGTGGGGGTGGCAGTGGCAGTGACAGGGACAGTGACAGAGTGACAGTGACAGTGACAGTGACAGGGACAGGATGGTGACACTTTTGGTGACAGTGACGGTAACAGGGTGACAGTGACACCACCACGGTGACGGTGACAGTGACGGGATGGTGACACAGTGGCAGTGTGGGGGTGGCAGTGGCAGTGACAGCAACAGTGGCAGTGACGGTGACGCCCTGACGGTGACAGTGATGGTGACGTCGCTATGGTGGCAGTGACAGTGACACGGTGACAGTGGCACCCTGATGGTGACAGTGGCATTGACGTCACCACAGTGACAGTGATGGTGACACAGTGATGACGGTGTGGGGGTGACAGTGGCAGTGACAGGGTGACAGTGACACCACCACGGTGATGGTGACGGTGACAGGGTGGTGACACAGTGGCAGTGTGGGGGTGGCAGTGACAGTGACAGGGACAGTGACAGAGTGACAATGACAGTGACACAGTGAAAGTGACAGGGTGACACTGACAGGGACAGGGACAGGGACAGGGTGGTGACACTTTTGGTGACAGTGACGGCAACAGGGTGACAGTGACGCCACCACAGTGACGGAGACAGTGACGGGATGGTGACACAGTGGCAGTGTGGGGGTGGCAGTGACAGGGACACGGTGACAGTGACAGTGTGGTGACATTTTGGTGACAGTGACTGTGGCAGTGACAGTGACAGGGTGGCGGTGACACCACCACGGTGACGGTGACAGGGTGATGACACAGTGACAGTGTGGGGGTGGCAGTGACATGGACAGGGACAGTGACAGAGTGACAATGACAATGACGGTGACGGTGACAATGGCAGTGACGGTGACAGTGTCAGTGGGGGTGGCAGTGACAGTGACAGTGTGGTGACACTTTTGGTGACAGTGACGGTGACAGGGTGACGGTGACACCACCACGGTGATGGTGACAGTGACGGGATGGCGACACAGTGGCAGTGTGGGGGTGGCAGTGGCAGTGACAGGGACAGTGACAGAGTGACAATGACAATGACAGTGACGGTGACAATGGCAGTGACAGTGTTAGTGGGGGTGGCAGTGACAGTGACAGGGTGGTGACACTTTTGGTGACAATGGCAGTGACAGGGACACGGTGACAGTGACAGGGTGACAATGACAGTGGCAGTGGCACGGTGGTGGCAGTGGCAGTGACAGCGGTGGGGGTGACACAGGAGTGACAGTGACGGTGACAGTGGCACTGACAGTGATGGCGGCACCGTGACGGCGGCAGAGCGGTGACACTTCTGGTGACAGTGACACTGACAGTGACGTGACAGTGACACTGACAGCGTGGCAGTGACAGTGGCAGTGACAGGATGGTGACACAGTGACTGTGGGGGTGACAGTGGCAGTGGCAGTGACGGTGACACTCTGATGGTGACGGTGACGTCGCCATGGTGGCAGTGACAGTGACAGTGACGGTGACACTCTGATGGTGACAGTGACGGTGACGTTGCCATGGTGACAGTGACGGTGACACGGTGACAGTGACAGTGTGATGGTGACAGCGACAGTGACGTCACCACAGTGACAGTGACGGTGACATGATGGTGACAGTGTGGGGGTGGCAGTGTGGGGGTGGCAGTGACGGTGACACACTGGTGACACGGTGACAGTGACACCCTGATGGTGACAGCGACGGTGACATCACCACAGTGACGGTGACGGTGACACGATGGTGACAATGACGGTGACAGTGACAGGGTCACAGTGACGGTGACACCTTGATGGTGACAGTGACAGTGACGTCACCGCAGTGACAGTGAGGGTGACACGATGGTGACTGTAGGGGTGGCAGTGGCAGGGACAGTGACATCACCACAGTGACGGTGACACTCTGGTGACAATGGCGGTGACAGTGACACAACGGCAACACTTTGGTGAGGTTTGGTGACAGTGACAGTGACAGTGACCCCGGGTGGCGGTGGTGACAGTGACATGATGGTGACAATGACTCCTGGTGACCCCTGGTGACAGTGACAGTGACCCCTGGGTGGCGGTGGTGACAGTGATGGTGACACAATGGTGACAATGACCCCCTGGTGAACCCCATGACCCCTGGTGACATTGTGACAATGGTGACACAGTGAGAGTGACAGTGACACCATGGTGGCAATGACCCCCTGGTGACCCCTGGGTGACAGTGTGACAGTGACAATGTCAGTGTGACAATGACACAGTGGTATCAGTGTAACAATGGTGACAATGTGACAATGTAACACTGTGACAGGGTGACGATGGTGGCAATGGTGACAGTGACACAATGGTGACAGTATCAATGGTGACAATGTGACACTGTGACAGTGCGGCGATGGTGGCAATGTGACAGTGACACAATGGTGACAATGTGACAATGTAACACTGTGACAGGGTGACGATGGTGGCAATGGTGACAGTGACACAATGGTGACAATGTGACAATGTGACAATGTAACAGTGTGACAGTGTGACAATGGTGGCAATGGTGACAGTGACACAATGGTGACAATGTGACAATGGTGACAATGTGACAGTGTGACAGAGCTGATAACATGACAGTGTGACAAAGGTGATAGTGACACAATGGTGACAATGTGACAGTGGTGGCGGTGTCCCCTGGTGACAGTGTGACAACGGTGTGACAGTGACACAACGGTGACAGTGTGACACTGGCAGTGTGACAGTGGTGGCGTTGTCCCCCGGTGACAGTGACACAATGGTGGCGGTGACACAATGGTGACAGTATCAATGGTGACAATGTGACAATGTAACACTGTGACAGTGTGACAATGGTGGCAATGGTGGCAATGGTGGCAGTGACACAATGGTGACAATGTGACAGTGGTGGCGGTGTCCCCTGGTGACAGTGTGACAACGGTGTGACAGTGACACAACGGTGACAGTGTGACACTGGCAGTGTGACAGTGGTGGCGTTGTCCCCTGGTGACAGTGACACAATGGTGGCGGTGACACAATGGTGACAGTATCAATGGTGACAATGTGACACTGTGACAGTGCGGCAATGGTGACAGTGTGACAATGGTGACAATGCGGCAGTGTGACAATGGTGGCACTGTGACAATGCTGTCCCCCTGTCCCCATCCCTGTCCCCCCCTGTCCCCATCCCTGTCCCCCTGTCCCCCTGTCCCCCTGTCTGTCCCCAGGAGCTGCTGGCCCTGCCCGGGGTCTCTGTCCCCGTGTCCCTCCCCCCGCGGCTGCTGCGGGGACAGCTCCGGGTGTGGCTGCGGGTGAGACTGGGACGGACTGGGAGGGACTGGGGGGGACTGGGATGGACTGGGAGGGACTGGGAACGGAACTGGGATAAACTGGGAGGGACTGGGGGGGACTGGGAATCAAACTGGGGATACCGGGAGGGACTGGGAATGAACTGGGATAAACTGGGATGGACTGGGGGGGACTGGGAGGGACTGGGATAAACTGGGAGGGACTGGGAACGGAACTGGGATAAACTGGGGGGGACTGGGAGGGACTGGGGGGGACTGGGAATCAAACTGGGGATACCGGGAGGGACTGGGAGGGACTGTGAACTGAACTGGGATAAACTGGGAGGGACTGGGATGGACTGGGGGGGACTGGGAAGGGCAACCCCTGCTCCATAGTGGTTATACTGGTCCGTACTGGTCTGTACTGGTCTGTACTGGTTTATACCAGTCCGTACTGGTTTATACTGGTCTGTACTGGTTAATACTGGTCTGTACTGGTCCGTACTGGTTTATACCGGTCTGTACTGGTTTATACTGGTCTGTACTGGTCCGTACTGGTTTATACCGGTCTGTACTGGTTTATACTGGTCTGTACTGGTCTGTACTGGTTTATACCGGTCTGTACTGGTCCGTACTGGTTTACACTGGTCCGTACTGGTTTGCACTGGTCCGTACTGGTTTATACTGGTCTGTACTGGTTTGTACTGGTTTGTACTGGTTTATACTGGTCCATACTGGTTTATACTGGTCCGTACTGGTTTATACTGGTCCGTACTGGTTTATACCGGTCTGTACTGGTTCATACTGGTTTACACTGGTCCATACTGGTTTATACTGGTCCGTACTGGTTCTGCAGTCGCAGGAGGTGGTGCTGCAGTGGGAGCCCCTGGAGGAGAACTGGGAACCCCCCGGGGATGAGGTGAGACCAAAAACCCCCAAAATCCCCCCAAA